AAATACATGAACTATCAGAAACAGCATACCATTGTGTCTGGAAGATGGCACAATGTGTAAGTGCAGATGTTACATTCCTGTTAATTCTCTGAAACTGAATCTTCCTTCACTTGATCCATGGGTCATAGTCAACACCTTTTTTATTTATTTATTTTTATTTTATATGCATGAATGTTATGCCTGCATGTGTGTAAGTGTACCTGTGTTATGCAGTGCCCATGGAGGACAGATGAGGGTGTCAGTCAGATCCCCTAGAACTGGAGTTGTGGATGGTTATTACCTGCAATGTGAGTGCTGGGATTCGAACCTGGGTCTTCAGCAAGAGCAGCCCAAGTGCTCTTAACTGCTGGGCCATCTCTCCAGCCCCTAGTCAACAGTTTTTTGTATGAAAAAGGAGAAGGCACCTCAGGCTGTTCTCAGACTTACCAAATGTGGCCCTGACCTGAGGCACTTAAAGAGAATACTCAGCACAGCTTTTTCTTCCAGATATTCTCAGTTAGTGGATATTATGGTTTGGCTATACAGTAACTGCCTTCGCCCCCCAGATTCATGAACTGAAGGTTTGAGTACCAGCTACTGCCACTATTTTAGGAGATATTGGAGATCTGGAAATGTTAGGAAGTGGAACCTATCTGGAGGAAGTAGGTCACTGGGACTATATCCTTGGGCTCTCGCTCTGGCTCTTGTTCTTACTCTTTCTCTCTCCCTCTCTTCTCTCTCTCTCCCTCCCCCCTCTCTCTCTCCACTCTCTGCCTCCTATCTACCATTAAGTGAGTAGCTTCTGCCACATTCTCCCACTACCATAATGCTCTGCCCCACTATAGGCCCAGAATCAACGGAACCAAGGACTGTGGACTGAACCCCCTGAAGCCATGTACCAAAATCAATCCTTCCTATCTTTAAGTTGTGTACGCCAAGTATTTTACCAGAGTGATGCTATTCTAATAATATTGATGAGAACTGGGAACAACCTGTAGGTCCCAGATCTCCCCTTCATAGTTCCTGGGGTATTCATACTTAGGCTCAGAAGAAGCACCAGAGTATGTGGAGCTCCTGAACAAAGGACCATCCTCCCACACAGTCTGTACAGAGAAGCATCTCAGTATCTCAGTCCCTGTCTGCTGCCTGCATGTGACATAAATTCACTATCTCCATTAAACCAAAGACAGGACACAAACTCTCCTCCTCACAGTGATTTTCAGATGTAACACAGACTTTCCTCCTCATGATATCTTCTGATGTGACACAGGCTCTTCACCTTATGGTGACACGGGCTTTCTTCCTTATAGTGTCCTACTGGTTCAGCACAGGGTTTTCTCCTTATAGTGATACAGGCTGTTTTCACCACATCCTCTTACTGCAGCACTGGCTCTCGCCCTCCCAGTGTCCTCCTGATGTGTCACAAGCTTTCCTCTTTTCAGTGTCCTCTGATGTGATATGGGCTCACCTCCTCATAATGTCTTTCTGAAGTGACACAGGCTCTCCTCTTTACAGTGCCCTCCACACCTGATGCAGACTCTCCTGAGTGTCTTCCTGACATGTTATATCTCTCCTCTTCCTCTTTTGACCTCTGTCAAACCCTACCCCTCATGTTTCTGCCTTCTAGGAACAGTGCTATGCCTATACTCCCAGAACAGAACTGCCTCCATGGGCACCTCTGGCTAAGTTCCTCCTCTCTGAGTCAGGCTCGTGGCTTCTATAGAGCATCTTCCCTCTTGGAGTGTTTCTTGTCTTACCTTTACTTCCCTGAGCTTAGGGCCTCTGGAAGTAGGATTGTTTTCTGCTTATCTCTCTCGCTATACAATCTTGAAGAAAGAAATCAGCACTTTTTAGAGACTTTATGAATTATCATATTTATTCTTTACAGTATGCATGTAAAAGTTTTTTTTTTTTCCTTTTTTAAAACCAAGTAAACATTACTTGGGGTGTTTAAAGCAACTGATACACCACCATGCAAGTTACAGGGAAAATTTGAACCCAAGCTGTCTACTCCTACCCCTGTCTATCCCTTTGTGGGATGATGCCTTGTAATGAATGTTGACAAATGAATGTAAGGTCCTAGTTCATTTGAAAATTGTGGAAATGTGGGAAATGGAGGGCTGTGGCCCCATGCTGAGGAAGGTGGCAGCCAGGAGTGTCAAACAGTATGAAGAAAGTGGCTCTAGGCTGCATCTCAAAAATATCTATTTTCTAGTATGAGTTTATATTTAAAAGTGTAAACCATGGCAAATTGCTCATTACTTTTAAGCAAGGGAGTGATGTGAAGGGATTTTCATTTTAGAAAGTAGTACTGATGGGAAACTGGTTATAAAACATTAGACCTTGAGTCAGAGAATCTCTAAAAGAGGCTCACAAGTTAGCATGGGAGATGAAGGCTAGAGAGATGGCTCAGCAGTTAAGAGCACTGGCTCCTTTTGTAGAGGACCCAGGTTCAATTCCAAGTACCTACATAGTGGCTAACAATTGTTGGTAACTCCAGTTCCAGGGGACTTCGACGTCCTTTTACTTCCACAGGCATTGCACAACATGGGTGCACTTATACAATACAAGCAATACACTCATACAAATAAAAATTTAAAAATAATAAATAAAAACTTTTCTTAAAACGATGGGAGATGAAGAAGACAGTGCTAGGGATTCCTAAACAGAAGTCAGAGAAGGAAGAGTTGTACTCTATTCTTGAGCTACAATTGAGAAACTTGAGGATTGGGTCCATATGGATAGACAACACAGAAGGAAGAAAGGATAGTATGGTGACAGTGATGCTGTGTGGACTGTTGTTGGCAGCTACTCCTCCCTGTTTGGGACTTCCTACATCCAGTATGCCACCTGTGAGATCCTTGTGTCATACTTGGCATTTCACTGTGAGGAGGCAGTGGTGAGGGTCCTGCTTGTTAGTCAAGGTGCCTGCGAAGGGAATACAATATATCTGTAACACAGATATCAATTATCTCAAATGAAGAAAAAAAATGAGAGTTCTTTTCTTATCTAGTCAACAGGTAATGAAAATGTAGAATAATCTGTAGAAGAAATAAAGTTCAACTGTATAAAACTTTTGGGCTATTGAGGGAAGGGAGGGTGAAGGTGAGTTACCCTGGGTGATGAGAAGGTGTACAGCAGGTGGACACAGGGAGTCTGCACCAGATGCCAGGAGACAGTGAGCACAACCCACTGGCCTTGTGAAGTAGAGCATCTCAGCTCTGAGTCACAACAGCAAAAAGCATAGCATAGGAGGAGGGAAATGTTATTTCTCTATTTAGGGCTCTTTTAGTACTTGCATGAGTTTGTTTAAAAACTTAAATGATTTATCATTCTTAGTCTAAGCTGTACCCGTGTTTGTTGTAGTATTCTTTTAACTTTACATGTAAAATTGCTGATAATAAAATGTTAGCTTAACTTCCTTAGTACACCCTGTTAATCATCAAGAGAAAAAGTCTGTAACAAATTTTTCACTTATATCAAGTAATCATAAACATAGAATATTTGTAAACAACTTATTTAAATTATTTAGAACTTTTCTTTCCATATGTATAATAGAGGTGAACTTTGTATTTATTCTACCAGTTAATATTTTGTTTTATTACCTTTGGAAAAGTAATAAAAGAACTCTGATTTTTCCATGTTTGCTATAGGCTGTTTATAGCACGCCCTCATTTCATTTGGAGACTGACTACGTTATTTAATATAACCTTGTATTTTAAATTAATTCCATTTTGAGATTGGCATAGACCACATCTTGAATAACTGTGGTTTCATTTCCAGTTCTCTGAAGTTGGGAACATCTACTCAGGGATAGTGCACCACCAGTTTACAAATCTGTGTAATTGAACGCTGCAGATAATAACTACTCTGGAATTTGCAAAACTGTAAACTGTGTGAACTAAGTCTATAAGAGCATTTGTCAAAATAGTGTCTAAAATAATTAAAACATAAAGACTTGTCCTTTTATTAAAAGACTGATCTAGTGATAGAACAATAACCCATTGTTCCATAACCCAATTTGGTCTGAATGTAAATCTTGACTAATCATTGATAGGTGTTGTCAATATCACATGAGCCAAAGAAAATATAAATTATTGTACAAATGTTTTGTAGCCATGTGAAAAGGCCTAGAAATGGCCTTGCCATTGCCTGTCACACCTCTCACTTCTTCAGTGTCCATTGGTTGGTAACCCTACCTATAAGTGCTTTGAGCCCAGTACAGAAGCCCCAAGGGAAGCAAGGGTTGAGCACTGTACATGGCAGCACATATGCTATTACCATAAGTATTCCTGTATTGTCCTACTCCTGTGGAGCCAGGTAAATAATCATATTCATGAATCGCATATGTATTTGTGCATTAAATGAGATGTATATAGCTCTGCTTTGTTTGCAGTCCTGGTATGTCCATTTTAATGCTTCTGCTCTATTCTGAGAACTGAATGTTAAAAGCACATCCTAATGGCTCTCTAAGAAACGTGCCTAAGGAAATTGCCTCCCGTTTCACAAACCTTTCCTATCAGTCCAGGTGATATAAATGTGTGCTAAGAATTAAACACATCTGGAGTATTTATTTCTCTACCAAAAATACTTAATTTTCCAAACTAGGTTTTCTTGAAGCTGCTAAGCCATGTTAATTTGGAGTTAGCTGGTTTCATTCTCCAACTCAGTACTATGGCTTAATTTCCTAGTTTATGCCTATTTCAGAACAGGCAGTAATTTGTTTTATGCCAAATAACACATCTGAGTTACAAAGCATAGCCTCAGAGTTTTTCATATAGCTAGAGCCCTTTCCATTGTTGAAGGTTGTTAAAGGCAACTTGACATCCTTAAAAGAAAACATTTCAGCTTCACTGTCAGACTGGGCATTCTGTGGGCACTTTGTGCCTGTCTCCTAGGAGCTGTCCCAGCCGCACAGCCAGAGATGTAATGAGCAGAGCTCCCATGCAAAGCTCCTTCTGGAGCAGCAGGGCCTTCCTTGTACTGCCTGTGTTTAACCACTGCTAATCTCTGTGTCACAGGAACTCTCACTCAGAACGAGATGGTTTTTAAGCGGCTCCACCTGGGCACTGTCTCCTATGGAATGGACACAATGGACGAAATCCAAAACCATGTCCTGAATTCCTACTTGCAGGTATGTGAATGTACTTCTGAATGTCATATTCTCCCAAAAGCACCTGCACTGCTGAGTTAAATTGAACCTATTATGTGTTAATTTGAAGATTCCATATTTTATTGCTACCTTGTTATCATTTCTAATATCTCAATCAAGAAGCAACCTTGGCTAGCATGTCTATATTAGCATAGTCATGGAAAGCAAATGAGCTCAAATCATTTATTTATATTGAGTTTTCCAGTGAATTATTTCTAAAAATATTGTTTGGTAAGCAGCATTCTAAAGGCTATTTAATAGAATAGTAACGTATTTTTATTTTATGTGTATGAGTATATTGCCTGCATGTGCACCTGTGTTGTACAGTGCCCACAGAGGTCAGAAAAGGACTTTGGATCCCCTGGAACTGCAGTTATAGACAGTTGTTAGCCACCATGTGAGTGGTGGTAACCAAACCTGGGTCCTCTGCAAGAGCAGCCAGTGCTCTTAACCACTAAGCCATCTCTCCAGCCCCTGTTTCATTTTTTTCAATAATCAAAAGTAGAGAACTCACTAATATGCACCACCATATGCCTTTCACTCACCTCCAACAGTGATCAGTGCATGGAAGATTTGTCTTTCACCTCAATATTTTGAAATGAATCTCAAATCTCAGTATTTTATCTTAAGTATTTATCCTTTGGCATTATTTTAAAGGTATTGCCACCCTGAGGTACAAGAATAGGACTTATTGGTTGAACATGAGAATGCAGCCTAGAAGCCATGTTATCTGCAGAGGCTTAGAGACAGGTGTGCCATGTGGAGTACTCCCTGGCCTGACTCTTTCCAATGGTCCATGATCCTGACTTTAGTTCCATCAGGGCCCTTTTGTATGTTTAGATCAAATAGAGGGTGTGTGGCTCTGGCCCCAAGTAATATTTGTGACTCATTAATTTGGACTTCTTTTTGCTTGTCATAATTTGAAGTCACCAATTCAGAAACATTATGCTTGGTAATTCCAGGAAAGCTGTTTAAAATGTCAGGTATAGTATGGTAGTTGGTGTTAGAAATTACTCCTTTCTCAGGCTGATTCTCTGCCAGTTGGTTAGTTTACTTTGAACATAACAATACACATCTTTTTAGTCAAAGCCACTCAGGTCCAAAGGTGTCTGAAGATCAACTGGGTAGGCTTATCAGTTCTTAGAGCACACACCTGCGACTTCAACTACAGAGCCAGCAGAGTGTTTATATATATAGTAATTTGCTTCAGACTTGATTTTGTACAGACTAAATTGCATTTTTTTTCTATAGAATTCAGTTGTCAGCAATGTCTTGTTCTTGAGTAATTACCTGGCATATACCTTGTTCTTAAGATGTTGACAACTGAATAAAAAATATTCCATGTGTAGTACACATTTATTATATGTGATATATCTGCAGGAATGCACTGAGTGCCTCAGTAAGTAGGGATATAAGTGTTATAAAGTATTTTTGTTCATTTGGGTAGATACAAAGTATTTTTAAAACTAGAATGTTTTTATTTGTGTGTGGGGGGGTAGATCCAAAGTATTTTTAAACCTAGGATGTTTGTGTGTGTTTGTGTGTGTGTGTGTGTGTGTGTGTGTGTGTGTGTGTGTATGTGATACTTGAGATCAAACCTAGGGCTGTATGAGTGAATGGCAAACAGTCTGCAGACCTCTGAACTACACCCTTGCCCTAGAATATTTATTTCTAGAAGAAAAAAAATTTAACAGGAAGGACTAAAGCTTCCTTTCTCCTAGGAATCTGTGTCTAGAATGAAGTGGTACCAAGTAATCACTACTTGTTAAAAACTTAATTTAGGCAGGTATTGTGGTACACACCTGTAATCTCAGTACTCGGAAAGCTGAAGCAAGAGGATGGAGAGTTCTAGGCCAGCCTGGGATGCATATGGACTCCTAAAAACTAACTTGTTATCCATGAATGTGATTTATAGCTCTAAATAACTTATTTTACCAAGAAAATATTAAAAGCAGAAGAGATGACTAATCATTAGATAAGCACAATATTTAATGTTTACTTATATCTAAGAATATTTGAAGATCAGTTTTACTAAAAGCTGTCTGTAGACTTGTCCAGCAGCACTCTGTGAAATTATGTAAGTCTTTGTGTTCTATTATTCCAATGAACTAGTATAGTAGCCCACTCTAATGTAGCACAAATCTTTCATAACCTGATTATATTTGCCCACTGGAAGCACTGGGTGGTAGGGAGCATACTCTTTAATAGAATTTGTATGAAATTAAATTACACAAGCATCAGTGAACATAACATAATTCAGAAGGGGAAGGGCTGAGCTTCTAGGGCAGCTCAGTGTGAGGTATTGCAGATTTGGGGCTGACATGCAACTATGGGCAGTGGGCAGTGCAGGTGAGTGTCAAGTAGACACCTCCTCATGAAGCCCTGTGGCTTGGTGGAGGAATTCATACTCAGTGACTCTCAGTGGCTCTGACCCCCAGTCTCTTTCTGGGGCCTGTCCAGTGTCTCTGAAATTAATGGGAGGACATATGTCAGTCCTTTGAGAGGTGTCCTCTGTCATCTGCTGAGGTAGAAGTAACAAAAACTCACTACTGGTGGTGACAACTCACACACATAGCCAAACCTGATGGTTGCTAGATGTACAGCATACTGTGGGTAGTAACTTCCCCAGAATAGGACTGAAATCTGTCAGGGTTGGTTTCCTTGAAAGGCCATATTGCTCTGTCTAATCCTTGCTAGCTGCAAACCAGACCACAGAAGTTCAAAGACTGGTGCAGAATCAATTCCAAGGGAAGATAATTAAAAATCCTGGCCTGCTTTTGGTTTTATACTATTGTATGTGCAGCATAATTTCAGAAAACTCAAAGCTGTGTGAATATATCATCATATTTTTTTACTTCCTATTTTTTAGAAGGAATGAGCTCACAATCATTGAACTTAGCAAAGTAACACTGTGGTTAAAGCGAATAAAGTGAAAGGAAACTGTCAGGTTTTGAATACTATAGCAAATATTTTGGTATATTTGACAACCTGGAAGTAGCTAAAGCATTTTGCATTACAAAGACAATGACTCATATTCATGGGTACTGTGGAAAAGAAAGAATGAAATCACTGTTCTTGTCTCTATTAGCTTATTTTAACCTTGTAAATCATGTCAGCAAATCCTGTGTCAACCACTTTATGCTCTTTCTGCCCTCATTTATTTGGCCTCCTGTTTTAAAGGTACACTCTCAAGCAAATGGAAGCAACCCCAGTTCTGCTCCACTGAGAAGAACCCCGTCTTCAACTCCTAAAGTTAAAAAAAGCGTCAGCAGTAGGATCCATGAAGCAGTGAAAGCCATTGCACTTTGTCACAACGTCACTCCAGTGTATGAGGCTCGGACTGGAGTCACTGGAGAGACAGAGTTTGCTGAAGCAGACCAAGACTTCAGTGATGAGAACCGCACCTACCAAGCATCCAGCCCAGATGAGGTCAGCTGCATTCCTTAGAGCATTTTGTTTCAGGGAGATTGTTATTCATAGTACAAACCTGCGTGATCTCTGTGTACTTTCTCTGGACCCTGCAGGCTTGAGGATTGGTTCTCTGGAGTAAAGACACAGAACAGCATCCTGGCTCCTAGCAAGAACCTTAGCTGAAGGACATATTACACTTAGGTTAACTAGAACCATTTTAGGCTCATTATGCAGAATACCTGAGAGTTACTATGTGTGAGCCTCATTAGCCACAAACTAGACCTCCAAATTTCAGATTTTTGCAAACTGGGTTTACTTATATATTAAGGAAGTTTCTTAAAAATTACGGACTTACGTCGGGCGTGGTAGTGCACGCCTTTAATCCCAGCACTTGGGAGGCAGAGGCAGGTGGATCTCTGTGAGTTTGAGGCCAGCCTGGTCTACATAGTGAGTTCCAGGCCAGCCAGGGCTACAGAGAAGTGAGTTCCAGGCCAGCTGGGGCTACAGGGAAACCCTGTCTCAAAAAGACCCAAAAAAAAAAAAAATTATGGTTTACTTTTAGCTTTATATCATTTTATTTTCAACAATAACACAAGAAAAATCAGTTTTATCAGTTTCATAAACTAATTTCTGATAAAGCCAGATTTCACTACAGCTGTTGAAACTTCAGACTATTTCTGTGTGCTACATTGTCCAGTTTTGCTTCATGTCCCAGTGAATCATTTGATTTGCATATTAAATTTCCAATTATGTATGGAATTTAGGTGTATCTATTCTTTCTAATTTTTTATTGCATTTTTGTGATTTTCATACAATATAGTTTGATAGAATTTAGATCCCCCTCCCTATCTGCACTACCCTCTATGGTCCCCTACCCAATTTAATGTACTCACATATATACATACATACATATATGTGTGTGTGTGTGTGTGTGTGTGTATCTATAAAAAAAAATACAGCCCATAGAGTCAGATTTGTGTCCCCAAATATCCTTCAGTGTGAGTTCATCCCACTGGGCCCACCCTGTAAGACACTGTCTCTCCCCATCCCAAGCAGCCATTAATTGCCAAAAGTTACTTAGATTGGATTGGGATTTCTTGCCTACTTCCCCATGTCTATGCTGGGATTTTGTCTGGCTTGAGCTTGCATAGGATTTGTGCATGCTGTCACCATTGCTATGAGTTCATATGAGTAACTGAGGTGTCTGGAAGACTTTTTTTCTTTGTGGTTATCTGCCCCCATCTGGCTCTTAGAGTCCTTCCATCTCCTCTTCCACAATGAGCCCTGAGCCTTGGGAGACACAGGTTTGAAATCATTGTCCTATTCAGGGGTAAGCACTTTGTGGCCTCTTGTTCTCTGCACATGGGCAATTTTGGGTTTCTGTGTTAATCACCTTCTGCTGCACAAGGAAATGTCTCTGATGAGAGTTGAGAGATGCATTCATCCTGTGTGTAGAGGTTGCATTTGAAGATGTATCACTTTAGGATTAAGTGTCTCACGGACTCTTATTCTCTGTGTTTGACTAAGAAACACATTAAAAAGTGTTCAACATCCTTAGTAATTAGGGAAAAGCAAATCAAAACTACTTTAAGAGTTCATCTAACACCAGTCAGAATAGCTAAGATTAAGAGAACAAATAACAAATGCTGGTGTGGCTGTGAAGAAAGGAGAACCCTCATCCACTGTTGATGGGGTTGCAAACTGATACAACCACTGTGGAAATCAGTATGGAGAACTCTTTAACAACTAAAAATAAATCTACCATATGATCTGGGCACACCACTCCTTGGCATATACCCAACAGACTCATCCTACTGCAGAGACACTTGCACAGCCATGTTTGTTGCTGCTTTTTTCATAATAGCTAAGAAATGAAAACAACCTAAATGTCCCTCAACTGATGAGTGAATAATGACAATGTGATAAATTTACACAGTGGAGTTCTACTCAGCAGTAAAGAAAAACAGAGTCACGAAATTTTGGGGTAAATGGATGGAATTAGAAACTGTTGTACTAAGTGAAGTAATACCAATTCAGAAAAACAAGTGACATATATTCTCTCTCATTTGTGGATCTTACTCCAAATCCCTAAATGTGAGTATATATTCCAATATAACCACAGGAGCCAAGAAAATAGAAAGGAATCATGGATGTAAAAGGGGAAGAAGGAACCTGAGAGGGGACAGATAGGAGGAGCCAGGTGTTACTAAGGGTGAAATGGGAAAAGGGGGGTTACTTTAACTGAGGAGGAAATAAGGAGGGCTATGCAGGGGGAGTAAGAAGAGAGATAAACAATGCTTAGATGATATGAAAAACCAGAGAGAAATATATTAGTTCAAAGCCCTACTGAAAAACATACACACTATAACTATATGAGTGCATATATATAGTGTCAGGCAGGAGAAACCTCCCTTCAAGGTGTTGGTCAGGGTAATCCAAGAGACTCCCAGAATAACACAGGCTATTGCCACAGCCTTTGATAGCCTCCTAGAAGGTAAAACCCTATTGTTGAAAACAGGCCATACTTCAGACATAGGGCTTGGAGCAATTGAGCTGGAACTGACATGGAAGCCTCCTCCCTGAACACTGACTCTCGTGGTATCAGAAGATACCTTGCAAGGTGCCAAAGAAGAAAATCAATCAGTGATCCTACCCAACTGTAAAGCCTAATAAACAACAATGCCTGGCCCAGCAGACTATCTCTATTGATGCAGAATGGTGGCACTTTTATTGTGGGCATAACCAACGGCTGTCTAATTGGAATTAAGGCTCATTTAGTGGAAGGGAACTCATGTGTGGTATTGTAAACATAGCCATATACATATATATATATATATATATATATATATACACACACACAAACACACACACACACACTAATCATAGATCCTAGAGAAAAACCTAGTTTGCCACTTCCCTAAATCAGTGTATTTTTTACTTTAGTCTAAATATACATCCTCATATTGACAGAAAAATATACCTTTCATGATTCATCAAAAAAGCTTCTTTCAACAGACTGAGACTATCACATAGGTCCAGAACTGGAATTTAGGTATATCTAGTCTTTTTTTAAATTATTTATTTAATAACCATATAATTAGAAGAAGCATTTCATGACAACACCATTGACATATTCAATAACAATTTCCAGAGCTAACATGCATCTCTTTCAAGATTGGCTGTAAATTTTTAGGTTTACACTTGAATTAATACAGTTATACAATAATTGTACTCAGTATAAACCCTTTAAGACATCAAATTAAATGAAGTTTTAACCTTTAAAAAAGATCTCATTTCATTATTAAAATACAGTTTCATACAGAAAAATTCATTTTAATGTAATTGACACCAAGATGTTTGCACATGCATTTCTAATCTCTATATATCTGATTATTACTACTCACAGTCAGTTACTTTCTGAGCTCCTTGGCGTCTGAGCATGGATAATAAGTAATCAGGCAGATTTCAATGGTAATGTTTTTCACATCTACTAACTATTAAGGAGCAAAGTTTTGTGCTTTGAAGAATTATTTTTTTAATTTTTAAAAAAATTTAATAACCACATGATTAGAAGAAGCATTTCATTACGGCTTTAGCATGTTCATTAACACACTCCAGAGCAAGGATATCTCTCTTTCAAAAGTGGCTGGAAAGTTTTAGATTCACAGCTGAATTAATACAGTTATACAATATTTAACTCAGTATAAACCCTGTAAGATATAAAATTGAATGAGTGTTTACCCTTTAAAGAAGATCTCCATTTCAAGATATGCTGTTTCCTACATTTTTTAATATTATTTTTTATTTTTTTAGAAGAAGCATATCTTTACACCTTTAACATGCCCAATAAAAGTTTCCTGAGCAAAGACACAGCTCCTTCAAAACTGCTATAAAATTTCTAGGTTCGCTGTTTAATCAATACAGTTATACAATATTGAACTCAGTATAAGCCCTGTAAGACATAAAATTGAATGGGTTTTTAACCCTCAAAAGAGATCTTTATTTCATTCTAAAATACACTGTTTCTTACAGAAAGACTCATTGTTTTTGCTAACACTGAGATGTTAGCACGTGTCTCTAATCGGTATTTATCTGATTATTACTAGTAATAATCATTTGCACAGGGATCCTTGGCACCTATGTATGTCTATAAAGTCATCGGGTAGATTTCAATGGTAATGTTCATCACCTCTACTAATTAACATGATGTAAACTTTTATGCTTCCTCCACAAATACATTTTTTTAAATTTGTTGATTTTTTTTTCTGTGTGTGTACATCACACAGAACATCCCAACCCATCTTATTCAACTATACACCCACTTCCCAGATGGCACCCTCCCATAGCCTCCCTCCCCAACTAGAGCCCTTATATTCTATTATCCCTGCTACTGTCCACTGTGTTGTCGGCACCCCTAGCCGTTCCCCACTACTTGTCCATCTGGTGAATCCCGTCAGCCTATCTAGAGGTCTTTGTTTTAGGAAGGTCAGCTGTTCCTCATCTAGCAGCAATCAGTTGTCAATATTCCTTTAGATAAGATTGGGGTCTGCTGTTCATTTTCCCAGTTCTATGCTGAGTTACTATCTAGGAGTCCCTTGGGCTACCCTGGCCAACAACACAAAACAAGGTATCTCCTAACTGGCATTGTTGCTTGTTAGGTAGCCTTTAGTTATGCATATGGACTCTTAAAAATTATATTGGCCGCTTTAATCTTTGGTTATACTTTCCTTTTGGGTGTTTAAGGCCATACAGTTGGCCCAGATAAACCAATTTATTTTTACTCTTAAGGTCCTTTGAGGATCTGTTCCTCAGGGGTCACATGGGCTTGGGAGGAGCCCCTGGCTCCTTTCTTTTACCAGTTCTGCCTATGTGAAGATAAATCAAAGATCCTGCTCTCGACCATGGCTGGCTTCACTTGGAAGCACAGAGGAAATGTTTCCTCTGTGTTGACCCTCTTCTTTGTAGACCGGACACTAGTTCATGTCCATCTCTTTGTGTCTCCTTGGCCTCCTTGATCA